CTTGGATCGGCAAGATGAAGTCGGCTTTCGTCCGCGATCAGGCTCCAGACGACGAGATGTGCCTGGTGCTTGGTGGCCTGTTCACCGGACCGGCGCGTAACTGGTACCGGCAACTTAGTCGAACCACGAGGGTGCGGCTGGAAGGAGCTCCTGCGCGAGTTCCAAGTGCAGTTCTGTGGACTCGGAGTCTCGGTCGCGAGACAATACTACCATGTGAGGAAGCGCGCCGATGAGACACCGCTGGAATATCTGCACCGCCTGACTGTCGCAGGACTGAAGGCGAAGCTGCGCGTGAAGAGCGGCCCATCCGACGTTCGCCGCGAGCACGTGGAACACTGGACGACCACGATCTAGCTGCTCAGCTTGCGTTGCTGGGTATCTCAGATGCCGATGCGCTGGAAGAGATACTGCGGGCGAGACAGCGTGCTAAGAACCGTCAGAGACGAGCACACATTAGCACGGCAAAGTAGCCTTCTAACCCTCCCACATCATGGTTATATATGTGCTAGATAGACGTCACACTAATTGGCTATACGACGACACTCCTTACGACTCCCGCCTCTCCTTAGCAAGGCAACATTGCCTTCTCCGTAGATCGCTTCCCAGCAGCTTCCCCTATAATATGTGAGGTTGCGGGAATGTCGTTCTTGTCCGACTGGGTCAACATTCACCAGTTTTTGAATCGGATCTTAAAAGGTTATAAAGAATTTCGTCGCTTTTGCTCTTCTTTTGTCAAGTCAAGGTATTGAGTTATTACAAAAGTCACCAAATATTATTTGACACAGGATATCCGAGGGTTTCCGAAGCCAGTAAGACTCTGGATATCCAGAGAACTAGTAGTGTTTATTGTCATTTGATAAGTAAGAGTAGTGTTTAAAAATGATTACTTAAAATTTTGCATGTAACGAATTCTAAGATCATATGAAAACTGTTTATATTAAGTATCAAGATAATCGCAAATAGTTGATCAACTACAGCAGATTTTAGTCTATATTTCCTTCACGCAGCAGGATTGAGCAAATAGGTGGTGCATTGTATTGAGTCGGAGGGCTGGTGAGAGGCCCCATGCTGAGGTTAATGGGCTCTCCCGTTGTTTGAATCGATGCGTTGCACCGTCCGTTTTGATAGCCCCGTCGAAGCTTTTGCTGAGTGCCGAAGGTATACTTCGAAGCATTCAGGTGTCCAGCGCCTGAGGAGCTTGGCTGACAATCTAGCTGCTCCACCGGCAACAAGCGCGGTGGTTCCACCGATACGGATCAATTGAGTATAATACTCCCATGAAGGTACACCGGCTCATCTTGCGACCTGTTTGAAGGCTCTTGATACTGTTTCTGCGCTAAGGCTGCCACACAAATGAGGGTCCGATCAAAGCTTAAGCTTCCGGCGGGCTCGCTTGATGTGGTACAGACCCCGGATTGGGCATGTAATGGCATCTCCTGGGACATGCATGGTCTGCTATGCTACTGGTCATTTTTTGCGTCCTTCAACCCGATTGTGACTAATGTCGCGAGCTCGTGCTTCACTTGTTTACCGTTCTTGTCTTAGAAGAATGCGTTGCTATT